GTCATTGCAGAGACAGTTAAAATTAAAAGGGTTTACAGGGGAAAGCTTTCAGATAAAATACACATTGAACCTCATACCCCTTTGTCGTTGCAGCATACTGTAGAACATGCCTGTTTTCCTGTTAGCATGGCAGCACATATTTCTACTGGAGGACCTCAAGCCTAGCGGTTTCCTGTCCATCATTACATTTTCTATAATTTCTATGTCTTTGTCTTTCTCATGTCAGGAAATTTTTTCCTGTAGCTCTAGTAAAAATTAAGTTCCCTCCCTTCAGTGTTCCGTGAACTATGTGCTCACTGCTCTTGGGCCTTAGGCCCTCTTGAGCACAGGGACATTGGCCCCTTGTTCTCACGAGTAAAGTGACTTGAGCTCATCCATCTGCTCCACATTTTCCAGTGTCTGGAACAGCATTTAGCAAGAATTAATTTGAAATGGCATTACTGTGACTCTCTTTCTTACTAGAGATTTTCTCTCTAGGAGGTAGAAAAGTGTTTATTACTACTTAGTAAAGTTTTGTATTCAGTTAAAATTTCCCTACGTTCTTGAAAAAAAAAAAAAAGATCTAGTCATGGTGGTAGCAAATGTATCGGCCATGCCCCTCAGGTGTCAGATATCCCAGCATAACTGATGGTTTCTAGGAAACTGGAAAAATTCAGAGAGTGTTCTTGGTAGCAGACTTATCTTTTATTTTTTGTCATTTGTAAATTTCTAGTATTTAGAATTCTATATTCCAAATGTCTCTGTTTAAATGTTAAGACGAAGAGGTATTTCATTGTAAGTGCACAAGAGATAGCTTTTCTGTAACACTCCCACGAAGAGATAAATATGCATTTTACAGATAATCCCGCATCCAACCAGAGAGAAAGAGCAAAAGTATGAACCTGGAAATAGAATTTGCATTATGCATAAAATGCTCCTAACTAAGGTAGAAACAAACAAATCAGTGACAACAGAGTTCACTGATGTGTGCAGGAACTGCTATTGACCTTCAGTAAGGTGCACAATCCGGGACAGGAGATGCTAGTTGTTATTGAGGTGTAATCCTGTCTTTTTGGGGGTGCTGG